TAGTGGACTAAGCAACAGAATCACTGATGAAATTAAGACTTGTTTAAGTGCAATTTTGGCATCAGACCTTACAGTAGTCTAAATATCTCATCCTTACGGCACACTGTGAACAGTGGATTCCTTAGGGGAAAGAAACTCGGGAATCACTGTGGTTAGAGCTAACTTAAGATTTATCTCCAGAGTGCAGCAGCAATGAGCAAGATGCTAGAAGGCACAAAGGAATGGGGAGGTAGTACAAAGCTGGGAACAGATTCTGAGTGTTTATATCATTACAGCCCTCACAGACATTTCAGGCTGTTTTAATTCTACTGCAAAATATTTTCCTTTTGACTCCTCCATGTGAGGTCTGTTATTATTTACAATTCCACAGTAAAAAATCCATACTTCCGTATTATCTCTCACTAGGATTCCCAAAACATCTCACTGCATTAAATAAAGCTTAAATGTACAGGAATAATTTTAAATTTATTGTGGACTGCAAACAGATGTCAAAAGAACTACATGTGTAAGTAGAGATTAATGTGAATCTGCCTAGAAATGCCAGGTATTAAATCTTTCCATTATTCATATGAAATGGGAAAGCATTATTTTTATTAGTAGTATTATTTTGTAGAAAGTAGTAAAATGAACTCATTCAAGGTCATGGAGAATTAGATTAATTGGTACATTCTGTCCTACATTTCAAAATGTGGGACCATGTGACGACAGGCTATAAACCTTTAGATCTTCAAAGTCATCTGAATTGCAATTTATATCCATGAAACTGATTCCCTTACTTTTCCAGATTTCTCTGACCACTACTTATTGCAGAGCTACACTGTTTAATTATTTAATTGAACCCTTCCTGCCCCATCAATTTCTCTAAAAGTTGTTGTTTCTCCTCGGAATAGCTGTGTTCAGCGAGATTACTTTATCTTTCCAGAACAGAAAGTCAAAAGCTATAGGGGAAAATACCAAGTTAATAGGAAGTTCTGAGCACAATTAATGTATAGGAAAAAAAAGAGAAATGCAAAGAACCCCAAACCTGAGAACTGTATCGAAACTAAAAGGCTCTGTTGTTATTGCCAGAAAGTAACGGCCTCATTTAAGTTAACTATGAAGAGCAAAAGTGTTCATTTTTAAGAATATAATTAATAGATGTACTTAGGGCTCTTAAGCAGAATAAATTTAACTACAGCAGCACAGTAATGAACAGCAGGCCCAGTAATCAATGGTAGTATCAGTCTGTGCACTGGCTTGCAGCCATGGTGCCTTTACCCAGAAACAAATAAATTCTATTTAAGCAGGACTGAAGTGAGGCAGTAGGTAGGTGGCAGCTTCCTAAAGGGAATTATGGTGCTGACAGAAAGGACTGCCTTAATTCAACAGGTGGCATTCTCCATATGAAATTACTGTGTAAATGAAAACCCAGTGTTTGATTTAGTTCTGAAACTTTCAAACATTATGTCAAAATGAAGGTGTGAAAGATCTACTGTGATATTTATTCATGAGTAAGCAATTTAATCTGATGCCCCTGATGTCCAACTCAAAAACCTCTATCTGTCTTCTCTAATAAAGTTTTCTCTGTCATTTCAGTCAGTTGGGAGAAAATTTGATTTTTCTCTTTTGGATTATGATGCAGTTACAATGTTTCTATGTAACAGCCATTATTCACCCAAAAGTTTCATTTCAGTAAGTAATCCCTGTAACCATTATTTATCTCCCAGAGAGGTGAGAGGCTTAGCCAGTATTTGCAAAGCATCTAAGATGTCTAAAGAAAGGTTACTGTAGGTTACAAGGTTACTATAAATCATGGAATATCCTGAGCCAGTTCCTACCCATAAGTCTGGTACCTCTTGCTATCAGGAGCCCTCTGGTTTCACAATCAAGCAGGTAGTTTTATTCCCAACAGGATTTTATAGCTTCCATAACCAGTTTAAGAGTTCCTTGTTCTCCAGATGGTTTAACTGGAGAGGACTTTGGGCTACTCAAGGGTCATGGCCACATGATCAGACAGGTAAAGAGGCCAGTTTCTTTTCAATGCTTTTTTTTTTTTTAACTTAACTGGCAGTACTGCTTACTTCCTATCTTCTTCTGCCCCCTAGTGATCTTTGATTTTCACTCCACCTGAACAATCATGTGGCTGCTTTATAACTTACATGCATACAGAAGTGCTGAAAACCAAATTCTTTTCTTTTTATGTCCTTTAGAAAAGTTCCTCATATCATTCTCCACTGAACACGTGAGAAACCGAAGAGCCTTTTCTAGCCCTACAGCACCAATATGCAAGAAGTGATCTTTACTGAACAGGGAAACACCCACAAAATCGGCAGACCATAAAATCCCTTTAAACCTGTCAAAGAAAACTTAAATTCCTTAATTTGTATTTCTCTGCTTTACCAGAGCTCTGAAGTTAGAAAAATCACACACGGGTTCTTTCACAAATCACTGTTCGTTTTTAAAAAATAAAAAAAACCAACCAAAAACTATGGTGTTTGCTGCAGAGAAAGCATCTCAAACCCACGACCATACCAAGAAAGTAGGGAAAAGTGATCCAATTAGATCTTTTGATCTAACTTAGCATCAGGTACATTTATGGGAAGTCCCTTGGTGATACTGCATTAAACAGTAGCCAGTCCAGCAAACAGTGTACTGTGTACTATTTAATAAATACGCTTACCAGTAAATGTTTACAGGACTGGGCTTCTGGAGAATAGCAACCAAGAGAGGAAACAGGCATCACTTACTGCACTAGCTTTGTCTGCCTTTTCAGTTATTTTCAGGTGTAAATGTAACTTCTCTTGTGTACTTGCTATGGATATTTTTAATACTATTCCCAAAAAAACAGCATTGTCCAATATGAAAGTCCAAAGGAACAAAATACCTTCACAGAAATAGTGCTTGTAAAATAAAACAACAGTCGCAATAGAATCCTTCGCTTTTACAAGGCCTGGCAATGAAACCTGTCAGAAGCTGGACAAAGTTAGATTTGTAAAGGAAATCAAATTCCAAATGGGACAGGAACAAGAATGCAGAAACACATTATCTAACTCTGGCTCAAAATCAAATTAATATTTTGCCTCAGAACATGAAGGCAAATGAGGATAGATGAGTAACAATTCTAGAAATAGAAATCACCACATATGAGTTGGAGGTAAGAGCTGAACAGTCAAGTATGGCAGATCAGATGATGCTAATTTTAAAACACCAGAGGTATTTGTTTACCAGAAGTATGTCATGCCACAGAAAACCTGTATCTTTCCTGGTGGCATTGTATAAAGAACGTAAGAACTTGAAGTCCAAGTGGAGCAGTCAGGGGAGTGAAAACCAAACCTTATGAAAGTGAGGAGCTTCACCCATTTGTTTGTACCTTGTACACACGTACATACATCTGCAAGGAAAAGTGTCAGAGTGAAGACAACAACTACTGTCAGCAAAAAGCTCACATCGTAACACCAGACAAAAGAGGTATAAACCACAAATATAAGTCTGGACTAGCTTTTCCGTAGAGCCACGGGATGGACTATGTTAAAAGGTCGTGCTTGATAATTCTGTAACTATGATTCTACTGGGAAGTTGCCCCTGCTAAAATAAAATGAGTGTTATGGTCTAGGAGCTGTTTTCCAGTCACGATATAACTTAACCAAAACAACAACGGTAAGTATTTCATCAAGAGTAATCTCCTCCTCTCGGGACAGAATGCTAAATATGGTTCTTTTGGTTACTGAATGAAATGGACAAAATAATTTCAAGGTTGTAATTAAAGACGAATGTGTCAGAAGTAAGTGAGGAAGATAATGACATTTCCTAGGAGTATAATGCACAGAGTTCCAGCTGCAGGCCTGCACAGTGAAGCTTAAATTGCCTTTCACCCTCCAAATGGGAATGCAACAGGGGCTTCTACTGGAAGGTGAAATTAATCAAAGCTATTAACTTCTGTACCAATAACTAATTTCTGTGGATCGTTCTGCTGTCTTGGGACTGAAAAAATTTAGTACACCCAGTGTATTTCCAAGTATTGCTTACGGCAAAGTAGGAGAGATGGTGACTGCAAAAGCAGAAAGGAAACAGAGCTGGTTATACCAGTTTTACTGCAAGAGGAATCCCCAGTTGACTGTTCAGACAAGTGTTCCATTTCCTCTGCCCCACTAGAAATGGCATGTCAATTGTCTCTGACAGCAGCGCGGATTAAAAGGCCAAAGGAGAGAGAACTATCGCACTAGACAGAGAGATGAACATTCATCTTGATTGTACGTAAACCTTGGCTTAATTGAGTGCAAGATTTATAATGAACAGCAAAACTTTTATTTCAGAGGATTCTCGCTCTCCACTCATAATTAAAACTGTTAGGTTTTTGAAGCTTTAGAGTTTTTTATTTTTTCCTAGTGCAAACATTATCATAGATCTAAGACAGAGAAATGGGATGCCTAATATTTGTCTTTGAACAGTAGCTTTGCAGTGCACCTGTTATTGTGAAATAGCAATGGTGAAGACTGTTAGAAGGGATTACAGATTTAAGGTACTCCACTTTCCAAGTGTTCAAACTGAAGCACCCTAAAAGGGCCTGATTCGCAGCAGAGAAAGAGACAGCATCTTAAATTTTGAGCACCTAACAGGTGTCTCAAGCTTTGTACTCAAAATCACTAGCATTATTTTAACATATCTTGCCCTAAACATCAAATAAAACACACACAAAGAAGCAGTATTAGAATGAAAAGTCATTTTATTCACCTGCTTAAGAGGCCTTCTCCATCTGATTCAGCAACATTAAAGTTTTTACAACCACTAGAACGCAATTAGTCTTGGGTGTTACAAAAGCTGGGACAATGCCTGGTATTTACATTTTTACTGAATTTATCATTTAAGACAATGAAGCGATTGGAATGAGATCACCCTGGTCTAGCCAGAAGAGCTACAGTTCCTGCAATGAAGACAGATATTGACAGTAACCAAGTCAAAATATGTAGGCCCAGGACTCATCTGTCAGATTCAGGATGCAATACAAGAGAGAATATACTTACTGAAACTTTCCACAAGGTCAAGGGCAACGTGAGTAGCAATATCCATTCCAGTATTTATGTAAGACTGGCAGTTTTTCAGAGATGAAAGAGAGGAATCCACACAGTTGAATGAGATCCTTGCACCGCCTGGCATCTTGAAATCGTTACTCTAGGAATAACAGATACAACATTTTGAATGCAGTTTACACCCAAAGAATTTGGGAGAGAAAACAGAAGTACAGATAGCTAACCATAAAGCACTGTCAACAGAACCACTGAAACATCAGAGAGCAGGGATGAAATCTTAGCTCCCAAGATGTCAGTAATTTCAGTGCAACTGCAATTCACCAGAGGTTTTCAACTCACCACCTATTTAGTATTAAGCAGAACTACACCACAAAAAGCAACTTGCAGTTTTCATCTGCCCATTGCTATCACTAAACCACAATGAGTGTCCTGGTTTTGGCTGAGATGGAGTTCATTTTCTTCCTAGTAGCTGGCACAGTGCTGTGTTTTGGATTTAGTACTAGAAGAATGCTGACAACACACTGATGGTTTAGTTGTTGCTGAGCAGGGCTTACACTGGTCAAGGACTTTTCAGCTTCCCCTGCTCTGCCAGGTGCACAAGAAGCTGGGAGGGGGCACAGCCAGGACAGCTGACCCCAACTGGCCAAAGGGGTATTCATTCCATACCATGTGATGTCATGCTATGGGGGAGTTAGCTGGGGGGAGAGGGATCGCTGCTCAGGACAAGCTGTACATTGGTTGGCAGGTAGTGAGCAATTGTATTGTGCATCATTTGTATATTCTATTACCATTATTATTGTATTATTTTATTTTATTAAACTCTATCTCAACCCACAGGTTTTACTTTTTTTTTCCCGGTTGTCTCCCCCATCCCACTGAGGGGGGTGGGGAGCGAGCGAGCGGCTGGGGGGGGGGCAGCTG